CCCCCCCCACCCCCCCCCCCCCCCCCCTTTACATTTTTCCTGTTTTATTGCATTAAAACCTGGAAATAAAATGGATTTTTGGGGGGTTTGTACACAACATACTTACCACTTTGTAGGTGCAAAATAGTTTTTATTGTGAATACCTTTGCAAGGCACTGTATAGTAAAGCCCCGGTTTGGATGAACCATGAGAGTCTAATATCCTGACTCTTGAGGGATGGCATCCAAGGCATTCCACGCTGGGAAAGCAAGCAAACAGGATCACTAGGGAGTACATTATAGTCCATGATATGTGTAGGGATTACAAGCTACCACAGTACACTGATGAGCCTGGTGTCACAAGGGAAAGGAGTGGTGGAAACTGGTCCATATGGAACTATTAAGTCATAAAATCCCTATAGAAAGGGATTTGTCTTGAAGAGGATAAAGCACTGTAATGGAAAAGAACCCCCTGTGGAAAGGAATATGGAATAAGGTGGGATGCAAACTCAGGAGAGAAAGTTTTTTTTTTTATATCAAGAATGACATTGCCAAGATTTGAACTAAAAAGATGTTTATCCTTGAAGGGTGAGTAAATTAAATATTCCTTTAGGGCATTCTCAGCGTGCCAGACATGAAGCCAAAGGACACTATACATGTGAACAGACATTCTGCCCATGCAAGATACAAGCTTAGATGCTTTCAAAAGACCATAGCAGCTGTAACAAAGAGCTTTAAACATTTCTCCTCGAGAAGGAGAGTTCTTTTTTTAAAGATGTTTCCTGCAGAAATCCGAGTCACCACTAAAAAGTTCTGCACAGTTAAATCAGATAACTCAAACTGTGTTAAAGAATCAAGAACTCCCTGCAAAGCCATATGGAACTTTCTAAAATACTTTCCAAAATCCTGTATTTGGAATTGTTTAATGGGAAACGTTTGACACCCACGATAAGAGAGATCCTTTTTTCTGTGCCACAAAAAAGGATATCTCTTACCGTGGGTGTCAAACGTTTCCCATTAAACAATTCATCAATTGTGCGTCAAGTTATGTCATATATGGCATTATTTGCCCTTGCGGCAAATTATATGTAGGGCGCACTATCTATTGTGTGTATAATCAACCTTCACTCCACCTTCCTTACATTATGGCCCTTGCTCCCCCATTTTATCTACACATTTTTTATCTACACATTTTATATTCATGTCTTTTATCCATATATTTATTCAATTTGTCTTATGGCACAATCATCTATATGGTTTATATGAAGGAGTCTTCACTCCATTCTTTATGCTTATCATCATCATGATTTTTTATATCAAACTGTTTTTTACTATAATACGTAAATATGATATGCATTTGTCTATATGTAGTGTGTGGTTTTATATGTGATTCCAGTCTCCTGTTCCCCCGTTTCTATACGATTTTACATAGGGCCGACAGCTGCTATATGCCAGTATTCATGGTAGATCCGATCTATGTCATTATAGCTATCGGTTTTTAACAGCTCTGATTGGCCGCGAGTTTGATACCATCCATCCTCAGCCGCCGTCCAATCAGCCTCTATTACTTGACCCTATCACGTCCGAGCCGCCCATTCTTAAGCTACAGCAGGGAGGAGACTGGCATTACGTCCTGATGAAGGGGGCGTGCCCCGGAAACGCGTCGACACAGCAGTGCTTTACACAGGACACGCTATCCGGATCTTTTTATTGCTCCGGTCATATTGTCCAACGGCTTGTTTTTATCTTCAACATAGTGAGTACCTGTCAATTCACCTTTATGCCTGTCTTTTTGGATTAAACGACATTGCACCAGGAAAGGCGCCTCTTCTTTTGTGTTTTTTAAATATCCGGCTAGACCAAACAATCTTCTAGGGCAGCAGGGTCAGGGTACAGCCTTCAAAATGCAATCTGTTTCATCCCAGTGCCCAAGGTCCCGTTCCAGGCTAGCCCTGCAATCTTTGATCAGACAGGGTCTGGGTGCTGCCTTCAGTGGGGATATGCTGATCTGGACAACTGATGTGAAGATACTAGCTCACGCAGCTTGCTTGAAGTCTTGAAGTTTCTGAAGAAAAAAAATGCGCGATGTATCAAGTATCCTAATTAAGAAAATAAATCATGGGCAAAATAAAGAGTTTTTCTAATAAGGGTAATAAGAGACATATTACATGGAAGATTTTTAACTTGATAGACATGAAAATTAGCAACACAGGGCTACAGCATACCTGCAGATTACCACTAATTTTATCCTGGCATTGTGTTTGTGGACCAGGCAGCAACCTTCTATGGATATTAGTAGCCTACAGCTCAGGTCCAGGACTGTCGGCTTATAGTACAAACACAGTGTAAAATATTGAGCCACTACAAACTGCAGTTTCAGACTGGATAGCCCACATCAGTGCAAAACACAGAAACCATAAAAGTGTGATGGTAAACTGGCTTTTGACTGTTTCATCAAAATATTTAGGCTCAATTCCAGGCAACAAGTGAACTCAATTAACCAATTCTAACCAGCAAACACTAAAGCTATTCTAAAGCAAGACAATTAGCTCAACTTCTCTTTAAAGGCTAAGTTCACTTTTTGCAAAAATGAAAGAAATGCATATTTAATAATGTAAAAAATATGTATTTCTTACATTTTTGCATTCAAGCCTGGAAAGCATTGCAACTGTGATCACCGCTGCAAAGCTCAGGCTTGTGCACATTCTCTCCCAGGCAGAGCTCCGTACTGAAATCCAGCCATCCTCCCTCTGGTTAGATGAGGGAATATGTACAGCTCTACCACATCTAACCAAACGGAGGACGGCTGTATGATGTAGGAGGTGATTTAATGCAGTTTGAAGTCCAGCAGTCCTTACCCATCTCTCCAAACTGAAACTTTGCCTAGAAGAGAATGTGCAGAAGGCTGAGCTTTGCATCGGTGATTACAGTTGCAATGCTTTCCAAGGATTAAACTTCCAAGGCAGGTATTACTATGACTGGTGGCGGTGAGAAACCTGTTTGTACTTATAATTTGTTATATCAGTCTTTCTGTATTGGAGAGGCAGCAAGGAGCCTACAATGGATGTGTTACACTTCTAGAAGAAAAAAAAAAAAAAAAAAAAAGTAGATCATGTATGCAAGCAGCACAGCCTACCTAATTAATTTCCAATTTTGGCGTATGTGTAATAAAAGAATGCGCTGTGTTAATGCTCCCAAAGTAGCATTCTTATCCACACATTAGGAATGAACCCCTAGTTATTCTGCATTTGTGATGTAAACGCCTTCTGTTAAAGAAGACATTGATGTTATTATGACATTCTCTGCAAACCCCCAACTGGAAATCAGGGAAGAGTAGTCCATATACTACACTCACCTTCATGCCCTTCCAGTAGGCTGCTTGAAATCCAGTTACAATTGCCTTAGGACAGGTTTATAATGGAGTTCTATGGGGAGGTTCAAGTTGGAAGAATGATGCAGGAGCAGTGTGTAGACTTTGTAAGGTTAGCCTATTAGCATTTCTCATACAATCAGTGATACACTACCCTAAACCCTAATCATCTCATAATATGTCTTACATGGGCATGCTTTTAAAGTGCAAGTGTAGGCAGATCTAAAAGTCCTCCATAATCCAGTGAGGCATTCATTAAAAATGCTTAAATTGATTTTAAATAGTGCTTCAACTCGTCTTTGCACTAGTCTCCTGTAATCCTCTATATATGAACATTCACACAGAGAGGAAGGGATAGTACTGTAAACCACTTAGTAGGGATGCACCAATACCAGTGTTTCGGTATCGAGTACCGTTATTATTTTTTTTCGGTACACCTTGATAAAACAAAATGATCAAGCTGACCATGAAGGTCCTGTTCTTTCACTACCCAGTTAGTCCTGACCAAGCTGTATTAGACTGAATTGGAGAAAAGGAAGAGATGTGGACCTTGTAAATTTGCCAGAAGTGTCTGTAAACTGGCTGAGCAGAATGACACACTGCAAGGCAGGTAGGGCAGTTTACATATAAACTTATCAACTATGTTTTTAGCCGTCTGCCTACACCAACACTTTAATGTATGGTGTGTGTCTCTTCTCATGTTACAAGAAATAAAATATATGTCCCAAAGCATATCACCATTACTCCAAATGTTTGAGTTTGGGTGTTCCTGGTAAAGGCTACAGTTAATATTACAGCATGAAAATACATTTTAGACAATTGTGTGCTTCTAACCTTATAGCAAAAGTTTGGAGCTATTTTCTGTTCAAGCATGGCTGTGCCCCTGTGCACAAAGCCAGGTCTATAAAGACATGCAGGGTTATTCACTAAAGGGTGAAGAGTTTGGAGAAGGCAGGAGAAGTGAACAATCTAGGACAAGTGCTTTTCACTCACCTCATAGTTCAATTAGCACCTGACCTATCAAAAGGCTCTTTTGGATAAATGGGCACCAATTCTTACAGACACACTTCAAAATCCAGTGGAAGGTTTTTCCTAAAAGTGTGGATGCTATTATATCTACGAATGCCAACAGGAACAGTATGTTCAACAAGTTCATATAGGTGTGATGGTCAGGTGTCTATAAACTGTGACTAGTCTAAGTATATAACCTTTGCCCAGGCACCAGGCTCTTTTTTTATCTTTGGTAAATGAGAATAGTAAAAAAAGAGAAACATTCAAGATGTCCACATTTTAAACCCTACATCATGATAGACAAGTAAACCACTTTATTTATAGGCTTTGATGGTTTGAGCCTGTTGTCAGTGCCCTTGCCTTGTAATTTATAGACTGAGGCTGCAAAACCTGTAAAGATCTGGAACGTCTTGCCTTACCCATCAACTGAGACTTTTAAGGACAAGTTTATATCAACACAACTGAATAAAATCATGGAGTAAATTACGTTTAGACAACTTTCTGCCCCTGATAAATTCACTTGTGCTCAAAGAAATGCTTGAAATCTTTGCAGCCTTACAGTTTATGTCCAATTATGCAGCAATTCTTAAGAGGATGACTTAAGTCACAAAAAGGTGCTAAATTACAAATATATATTGAAAAAAAAATTAAATAACAAAAATAAGGAAAATAATTAGTGATCCCATTATTTAGTGTGCAGAACAGCAGCTTCTCAACACTCACTACAAGGAGTGTTACAGCAAACATATGGAAGAAGGAATCACAGAGGATGGAGCGGAAACAGATGCATTTAAAGTGATATGAAACAATAACAGGATTGTTTGGAATATATTGCATTTTCTAAAATGTATACCCTCTGATTGTGAATGTATTGAGCACCAAACTGCAGCTGTCCTGTTTTAAAAAGTGCTATCATCACTGCAATGGTCTAAGTGAATTGTTATTCTCGATGATTAGGCTTGCCATATCCAAGAACGATTACATGGTAGTGCCAACCAAGTCCTTTCTCAGTCTACATTTGGAAGGTTCTGACGCTTTGGGGTGATGGGAAAAGCCTGCACCTATTAGAAGATTTACTGAAGATCTGACTTGTATGGCTATCCGAAGGTCCGGAGGAGTTAGAAGGAAAATTATTCTTCTAATTACTGGAAAGTGGGTATCTGAGGTGGCAGTTACACTGTTCTCAAATATCCTCTTCACTTGTCCACAAGTTTACCCTTCTTCTTAAGGACTATGCTTTCCCATCATGGTGATCAGTCTCTGGATTGGTAAAACAGGATATATCCCGATTCAGAATTTTTGGAAATGTCTGATGTTAAACCGTAGAACTCTTCAATGGCTTGGGCATCAATTTTCTGTGTTGAGAGAGAGGCAAAAAAGTAAAAGGTTAGTTTGAAAAATAAATACATAACAAGAAACATGTCCCTATACTTTAAAACAAGAAGTGTCTCACCAACAATTAAAGGTCTTGCACATATGGACATATCAAAAAACCTCATCGCTGTTGATTTCCTATCTATAGTGTGCAGCTGCCAACACTTAAAACAGGTGATTACACTCTACTTTTCTTCGACAGGTCTCTACTGAACATTTAACTTTGGGATCATCCTTTTGAAAGTACATGCTCGAACGTGCACAATCCCCCCAGCTACCCTCTCCTCTTCTCCCTCCTCATCCCCTCCCCCTCCTTGGCCTTCTTCTACCTCCTTTTAATTCTTTCCTTTAATCTTGTTTAATCTCTGGTTATACCTGGTCTTCCTAGATAGACTGGCATATGCATCTACACAATTGCAGATTGCAATTACTGATTACCATCGATACCCTGTGTATTCTGTAATATACTGTTGAAATTACTGATGTATCCATGCACAGTATGCAACACTGCTGTTATCTATGTGTGATTGACAATCTGCCACTAAAATGTAAAAATGTATTGAACAAAAAAATAAATATGTTATTACAAATAAAAAAGCATATAATGTAGCACTATCACCAATGACAACAGCAATTTCTACTAAAAACTAAAGCAACAACCTATTACCCTGAAGTAACATAACCGTGCTATACAATTTATTTCAAAGTCTATGTCTTATCCAGTCACTTAAAACTTGATAATCTTGCAGTAAGGTGCTTAAACGCAGGTTTTTGCAGAACAAGGTGAATTAAAAAAAATAGAGAAAATGTTTTTCTAGTAGAAAGGATAACAATATAGCACTTGTTATTAAAATCATGCCACTCTAGCACTTATTAAAATGATACCACTCGAGGATGCTGTCATACAGGCAGATTTTTGTACAGTAAGATGCAGAAATGCAGTTTTTAGCATACTGAGCTGCATTAAAAAAAAGCATACCACTCTAGGATGTTGTGATAAGTGCAGGTTTTTGTATATTAAGGTGCACAAATGCAGGTTCATGCACATCAAGGTACAATAAAAACCAGAGAAAGCTTTTTTTTCTAGTAGAAAGTATAACAGTATATTATTTCATGTGGGTAGGATTACATTTTACTCAACAGGGAAAACATTGTTTTAACACATTTGTATCTGATCTGTGATAGAATCCTTGCATTATCAAAGTACAGATTCAACTTTTAATTTGTAAAACATTATGTATAGTTTTAATGTCAATGCTAGTTTGGTACGTATGTAAAGTATATACTGGTAAATAGGGATGAGTTAACCACTTTTGTATATAGTAATAGAACGCATGTTATAGACCATTTATTAAGTGGTTTGCATGCATGCGCACCTGCACCAAGATTAGTGGGCGGATGCGTGCGCATTTGTATTCGTAGTGATAAGGTGCTAATATGCCTATTTAAGGGAAAGAACATACATGCAACTCCGTACCCCTGAAGAAGTCAATGGACGCAATGTGTTGAGCAGAGTTTTGTGCATGGCATCATCTTGTTACAGCAAGTGAACTGGTAACCGCGATTTCTGACATTAGTTTAATACTGGATCCAACCACCAGGTGAGAGGCAAAAAGGTGGAGGTGCCGGATACCATCTCTTTATAAAGGATTTATATTTCCAAGTTTAAATGCACTGATATCGGCAATGCATTTGCATAGCACTATTCATTAATTGTTGGATCACCTTTGCAAGATTATCAAGTTTTAAGTGACCGGTTATGATATGGACTTTGGAATAGACAGTATGACACCATCATGTTTGTTCATGATAATAGGTTGTTGCTTTTGTGTTTAGTAGAAATTGTTGTTGTCCTTGGTGATATTGCTACACTATATGCTTTTTTACTTGTACACATGGGTGATACAGAATGAAAAAGAAACAGGATTGCCTTATCAACAAAGGCACTGCAGCTAAAAACTTCTGTATGGGGTGACTAGGCTCAATGCCCACATTTAGCTGTGAAGTGTGTCCTGATTTGACACCTATATCTACAAGATCCTATAGATAGCAATGAAAAATCCATAGGCTGCTCGTCTTTTAACATGTTCAGGTTATCACAACTGTGCATGTCACAGACAAACCTTTTTTTTTCTTTTTTCTCGAAAGATGGAAAACAAACCAACCTCTACAATGTCGTCATCAAACAGCAGCCAGAACCCATGACTCTTTACAATGGTGATGTAGTGTCCGCGGTTTGGCCCACTGTTTGTATCAATGAAAAAAAAAAAAGGATAAGAAATCAGTTTGGGAGCCTGAACATTATTTATTACCATTTATCACTCGTTACATAATTTACCAGTGTTAAAAAGCAAAAACCTGTATTGAAACAAGTAGGCTTCCTTTGTTAAAATGCAATGTTGATCCATGGGCTTCAACACTTTCCAAACAACTTTCCCTGAACAAGTATGCAGTCAGGAGTTCTTAATCTTTGTCTACCTGCATGCTACTTCCAGGTTAATGATTCAAAACATTGAAGTGGAAGGCAGCCCAGCAACTAGCATTTGTAGAAAGAGGTAATTCAGCCTGCATAATTTTCTCAGTACAGGTTTTCTTTATGTGCATTATAAACACAAAATACATGAATAAATATCACAGAATTAAGAAAACGTTAGATATGATTTGGTATGTAATTACTAAGAGTACTTTATAACAGAGAATGCAGGTGCATACATTTCACAGTTCCTCTTATTTTTCACAAAATATAGGTTTGTCCTGTTATAAAGCTTGTGATTCAATACCTGCCACAGTGGACTACCACAGCTACCAGGTCATACATTCGTTCTGGATTGGTGGCATCCCCGGAAGTGTTGAAAAGCCGAAGCTCCAATGGAAATACCACGCGATAGGAAAGTTTGGTATATCGGTGCAGCTGGTCCATGTATTTAAACCTTTTCAAGTGCAAGGCTAAGATCATAGGCAACTTCTTTACTCTCATCCTACCAAAAGATGGATATCAGTATTAGCAATCGACTCATTCCATTGGTAATAATCAGCGCTTGCTCAGGAAGAAAAAGAAGATGAGAGAACCACTGAAGTGAAATACAGCAGAATGCGTCCGACACTGTCCAGACAGCTGATAGTCATATATTATATCCCCCTTTAAGAAGATGACTTTGTGGAGCTGCTAAAAGTTAAATGAAAAGATAAACCGGGCTGATTATTACAATCTAGGAGCAATGAGAAGCAGAGTTGATTAATAAAAAATAGAGTAGAGGACAGTACAGTAGTATAGCATCAAGCAGCACACCCTCAGAATCCAAATCAACTGCTTAGAGTGAACATCAGCCATATTTCACATTTATGGTAAGCAAAATGTATTGTCTAAAAAAACGTACCTTTTCTGTCCTTCCTGTTTGCTTCGACACTGCTCACAGTAATACTTGTATTCACTGCATAGTGTTTCTGTGTTACTGAACCCCCTGCAGAAACAAAGTAAGTGTTGGCATTTCATTGTGAAATGATATGACAATTCTAAGCCAATAATGGGGCCTCTGGTGAATTTTTGCAAATTCCTGCAATGCCAAAGCAAACTGCACTAAAGCTAAGGTTTGTATCATCAGACGGGTCTGAAGAATAGATCTAGATTAGGGTTGGCAGGCTATGGTGCTTAGAGCTGGCTCCACTGCCTAGAGTCACAGCAGGACTGATCACATTTTTCAGATAAGTTTTGGAGCTGGTTTGCTGGAGGCAAGTTGCTGGAGCTGAACTGAAATTAGGGTGGAGCTGAGCATTGGAGTCTGGAGCTGCTCTTTTAAGTGCTATTACACGTGACTCTCAGTATGCAATTCATTTTGTAGCAACAAAACAAATGTTAGGATGGTGGAGTCATGTGCTATCGTGGATCTTTTTTCGGAGTATACTGTCTTCATGTATTGTTTGTGAAATGCCTTTGTGTGAACGTTACATTTAAACTCCTAATCATCCTATTATTTTCATCTTTGGAAGACTTAAAAAAGGAACAGATTGGAAATGTAGAGCGTGTCATGTAGCTTTTAAATGTATGAGAATATCTGTTCACAGGAATCAAGTATCTGCAGGAACAGGATTATCTCTCATGTAAAAGACAATTGCAATAAATAAAGCCCATCTCCAGCCAACACTTTGTCTGTATCCTCCTATCCCAGTGACAATCACTCCCCACATATCCATAGTCATAAACTCTCTATATTTCAGCCTAATAAAAAAAAAAAAATACTAGGTCCCTGGGTGATTGAAAGTTCTTTCCACTTCCAGTGACTAGAGTAGTGATCAGGCACAGTCAAATTTGAGCACTGAGCAGAGCCTAAATGCCTGTGCTAACCATACCATCCTGACACACATTTGGCTAACCACAGGCCCCAGAGGGCATTAAGCATGTCATTTTCAACCACTGACAAAGTGAAACCCCCATTAAAGCTGTCATAATAAACAAATAAAAAGGCTGAAAACTTGCCAGGAGAATAAGGCAGAAATGGCCAATAACATCCTCTCCTTCAACCTAAATTATTCTTCAATTAAAGTACAACTCCAGACAAAATAAAACATGACATATACGATGGCGCCTGTCCATCTTGTTACTAAAGCATATTTGCCCCTCTGTAACAGTTATATTTACAGTTGATCCTCCTAGACCTGTTATTTCTTCCCTTAACTATAAAAGAGAGTCACCTTGTGGACAAGGTTGTCTTAGGTGAACATGAAGTTTAAGTGGACTTTAAAGTAGAACTATGGCCTCCCATTAAAAACAAATAGGTGCTGCAGCATTTAATTACAAGTGCATCTGTAATGACAGTTTTCCCTTAGTTCCCCTGGACTGTCTCCCAAATACCTGTTGAACCTGCCAGTGAAGTCCACCTGACGCAGCTTTCTGTGATGGTGTGGCAATATTGCTGCACTGCTCCAGAATTCAAAGCAGAGTTGCCACTCTCCTGTATGATATGCCTGCTTGCACTACAGTAGGGATGAAAAAAATGTTGCAGAGGGTATGGCCATCAGCATTGTCACTGCTGATTCACAAGCCTCTAGCAGGTCAATCAACCCCTGGCCACACCCCAACCCCCTGCTTTCTGGGTTGACAGCATGAAAACCTCCCATGTGAGCGGCAATGTCTGAGAGGGGGAGCATGTGAGACACAAATGGAAGAGGATTAGGCTCAGTCAGAGAAGGTAAATAAGTGTTTCTTTTATAATTTTATGAGGCTTGTGCATCACATAGTTACTGAATTTCGCGCTTGTTTACAATGTCATACAGGAGCCTGTAGTTCTACTTCAAGCAAGAGAAACAAACAAAAGCCCAACTTTTTAAGAAGTTGCTTTCTGTGTTAGAAACCATATGGCAGGGTAGTATGTCACCCTTGTTACAGGGAGATTTCTAAAAGTGAAACCAGCTGTGTTAATGTTATTGACAGACCCCATTATACATATTTAACATTTGATTTCGTCCACAGTTGCACTTTAAGGTTTGCTCTTCTATAAGTATGCCATGCCACTATCAACCCGGGGAGCCTTTTACAATAGCTCAAATATTATAAAATAAATCTGTTACAGAACACCGAGTGCCATATAGTGCAGGACAAAACTTGACGTTTATGTGTGCTCCCCAGAGTGCCGCTAAATAATTATGCAAATGTTTTTTTTCTAAAAGAATCAAGAAAAATTCATGTACTTTACATTTCTTTGGCAGCTCTGAATCAGTCATAGCTGGCAGGTGTAGAAACCTTACATTGGGTTTCTGCAGCTGCCTGGAGGTTTTTGCTTAGGTTCGGAGCAAGCCTTGAGCTGGAGCTCAACTGCTACAGCAACTTTGGAGCTGGAAAACATGGAGTACTTAAAAAGTTCCTGTGTATATACAAGTAATTTACACAGTGCTGGTAGTCACTGAGCTTCCTAAACAATTCCTGATGTGTCCCTTAAGAAAAGTCTGTTAGTGACAAAACACGTTAGTGTGGAGGCTGCTGACGTCACTTTTTTCATAGCGGCTTTGGCTGTTAGATGCTGCAAGTTCCACTAGCCCAGTAGGATTTTATGCCGAGTCACTAGATTTGGATGCAAATGCAATTGTTTTTAATATATTTTTAATAAAATGGTGTTGTGCTATGTTGTTTCCATCATCTTGCTTATGAGGAAATTATGAATGTTTTACCATCGAGGGATAAAGGAGTTCTGACAAATGTATATTGACCAATGTATGTATATATGGAGGTCACTATTGATTCAGGGAGTTCAGCTTAAGGAGAGAATTAGGTGGCATGTTCCAAGGAGTACACCACACCTGAAGGACTAATAGATGTTTTATTAAGGCTGACACCAGGATTTGTTTAATGAACTATTTATATCTCAGTGACTATAAGCACAGTGCAAATCACATTGTATATAAACAGGAATTTTATAAGACTGATCATTTTTGATTCACTGTGTGCATATTAGATTACAAATTTGGTGGAGGGTACTATTTGGACTGCATCGTTTTTGTTTCAAGCGCTGTGTTTTGGTGAATACTAATTTGTATCGAAACCTGATATACAGTTGTGTGAAAAAGTGTTGGCCCCCTTCCTGATTATTCATTGTTTTGCACGTTTGTCAGACTTTAATGTTTCATCAAACAAATTTAGATATTAGTCAAAGATAACACGAGTAAACACAACATGCAGTTTTAAAAAGGAAGGTTTTTATTATTAAGGGAAAACAAAATCCAAACCCACATGGCCATGTGTGAAAAAATGTTTGCCCCCCTCCCCCCCCCCCGTTAAAACATAACTTAACTCTGGTTTATCACACTTGAGTTAAATTTTTCTAGCTACACCCAGGCCTGATTACTGCCACACCTGTTCACAATCAAGAAATCACTTAAATAAGACTTGACTGACAAAGTGAAGTAGACCAAAAGATCCTCAAAAGCTACACATCATGCCAAGATCCAATGAAATCCGGGAACAAATGAGAAAGAAAGTAATTGAGATCTATCAGCCTGAAAAAGGTTATGAAGCCATTTCTAAAGCTTTGGGACTCCAGCAAACCACAGTGAGAGCCATTATCCACAAATGACGTAAACATGGAACAGTGGTGAACCTTCCCAGGAGTGGGCAGCCAACCAAAATTACCCCCAGTGCGCAGCGACGACTCATCCAAGAGGTCACAAAAGACCCCACAACAACATCCAAAGAACTGCAGGGCTCACTTGCCAAGACGGAGTTCCAAGACGGAAACCGCTGCTGAGCAAAAAGAACATAAAAGCTTGTCTCCGTTATGCCAGAAAACATCTTGATAATCCCCAAGACTTTTGGGAAAATACTCTGTGGACTGACGAGACAAAAGTTGAACTTTTTGGAAGGTGTTTGTCCCGTTAGATCTGGCGTAAGAGTGACACCGCATTTCAGAAAAAGAACATCATACCAACAGTAAAATATGGTGGTGGCAGTGTGATGGTCTGGGGCTGTTTTGCTGCTTCAGGACCTGGAAGACTTGGTGGAACCATGAATTCTGCGGTGTTCCCAAAAAATCCTGAAGGATAATGTGCGGCTATCTGTTCGTGACCTCAAGCTGAAGCGAACTTGGTTTCTGCAGCAGGACAATGATCCAAAACACACCAGCAAGTCCACCTCTGAATGGCTGAAGAAAAACAAAATTAAGACTTTGGAGTGGCCTAGTCAAAGTCCTGACCTGAATCCTATTGAGATGCTGTGGCATGACCTTAAAAAGGCAGTTCATGCTCGAAAACCTTCCAATGTGGCTGAATTACAACAATTCTGCAAAAAACTGCATGTTGTGTTATCTTTGACTAATATTTAAATTTTGTTTGATGATCTGAAACATTAAAGTGTGACAAACGTGCAAAACAATGAAAAATCAGGAAGGGGGCCAACACTTTTTCACACAACTGTATTTGGGTTCACACAGCATCTTTTATTTAGTAGGTAATTTGTAGATTCACACATTTAATTTCAGCACAATTTATAGGATTATATTTAAAACATGGAACACTGTCTTCCCTAAATTTTGATGATAGCTGCATCATACCCATGTCAAATTTGAATACAGAACACCAGGGAATACACTCCTACTAAACTCTCTTAACATACTATATACATTTTTTTCATCTGATCCGAATATCAGAAAACACTAAGGGGGAATTTATAAAAATTGGAGCAAACAGAACCTGAAGCAGTTGCCCATGGCAACCAATCAGCATCTCTCTTCAGTTTGCTCAGGTAAGATTTGAAAATAAGAGAGATAAGCTGATTGGCTGCAGTGCAAATCTGCTCCAGATTTAGTGTGCTCCAGTTTTGATAAATTCCCCCTTAACAGTTATGGAGATTTTTTAATTTGTGCTTACAGTTTTGGATAAGCATCCCTTCACAAAAACCCTGCTGTGTCAGACCAGTAATTGATTGATCTCTGCGTACATCGTAAGCAATGTCAAAACCCCTATACCATTTTACCCTGGACAGTGTTCTACTTCAGGAGACAGGAGATTCTCATTCTGGAAACACATCCCACGGAGAGCCGACAATGTAAAGTTCACAAGCATCACGGCTTGTGACTTGTGACTCACCTTAAGCAGTGTGTAATGGAAGTATTTTGTTCCACATCCACAGAGAGATCCAAGAAATCTTCATCTTTGCTACTAACCTTGAGAAGGACATACAAAAAAAAGTGTTACACATGAATCATAGTATTTACATAGGAAAAAGACTGGAGAACATCCACTTAAAAAAATTGGGTACATTTCCTCTCATTGCTTCAACAAAAGCCAGAGGATAATGCTGGATATGGAGGGCGAGTTTTCGTTACCTGTACGCACATGCTGTAAAACCATATTATTTTAAAACCAAGGGCTTGCTTTAATGCAAGAGTTGTCAGTAAACCTGTTATCTACAGATTTCACTGACGTAAGGAAGAAAGTCAAGGCACATTTCATGATATTTGCACATTCACAGTTTGTGTGGGATCAGGTCTCAACAATCAGAAGTAAACAATCGAGGACAAAATAGCTGCTTTGGCAATATTCTCCAATTCAGCTCATGTTCCAGTTCAGCTATTTTGTCCTAGATTGTTCACTTCTCCTACCTTCTCCAAACCCTTCACCCTTTTGTGAATAAACCTTGAAATGTCAAAGAGAAATGCTGCCTATTGCCCTCAGCAAGCAATCCAATTTCATACTTTATGCCCAGGCTAAAAAAATGAAATTTTTACTGGTTACATAGTTGACGAGGTTAAATAAAGAGACAGGTCCATCGAGTTCAGTGTGTGCGTGTTGGCAGGAGTACCTGTACCCCTGTATATTTTGCTTACTGAGAAAAGTATCTAAAAGGTTCTTGAAGGAGTCAACACTCTCAGCAGAAACCATTGCCTGTGGAAGGGAGTTCTACATCACAGTTTAAAAGGAGAACTATGGGGTTAAGTATTTCCCCCATAGTTCTCCTTAGGGTAACGGGAGGACACAAACTAGCGTACTCCCGTCACCCAAGGCTCAGTATACCGCGAGCTGTAGCTCGTGGTATACTGAGACACCGCAGCTGAAGCGGATGCCGACAATTGTGCCGGGATCCGCCCAGCTGCGTGACTGACAGCTGGCTCTGCCTATCTAGAGGCAGAGCCAGCTGTACCCGCCCCCTCCCTGTCCGTTCCGCCAGTCAGCGCTGGCGCATCGAAGAGGGGAATCCAGCCCCTCCCCTGTCACGGCAGAGAGTCGTGATAGGATCGAGAGGTGAGCGAACGCCAGTATGTGTTCGCTTACCTCCCGATCTACTGAGCCGATCTGTGACAGTCTCATTGTCACAGGTCGGCTAGAACTACGAGGTGAGTGAAAAACACTCACCTCATAGTTCTCCTTTAAGATTAAACCTTTTTTTCTTCCAATTACGATGGTGAGCCAGCCCCCACCCCCCATGAATAACCTTACATTTCTTGAGCTTAAACTAATCTGCCACGTAGATGCCCACTCCCTGTTTTATCCAGGTCTTTCTGTAATATTGCTATGTCTTCTATCAGGTTGATCACCCTAACATTTTTGGTATCCTCAGCAAAACTGAAATAATGCTAAAAATACCAGCCCCAATATCGTTACTAAACAGGTTGAACAGCAATGGCCCCAGGACAGAACCCTGGGGCACGCCACTGCCAACCAAGGACCACTTAGAAAATGACCCATTTATGGATATGTATTGCTTTGGGCAGGTCTTTTTATTAGGCAGGATGATAAATCAGACTGTTCCAACACAATTGGGATCTTCTCATCTCTGAACACCTAAATCAAGCTGTCTTATCACAGTGAATGCATGTAATCTGCACAAGCCATTTGCTTATTGGACAATGAAGGTGCAGAAGTACAAACATAAAGTTAGTCACTCTGCTCCTTCAAACAAGCTGCCAGTATAATGGCCACACTGCAATGCTGCTCACAATACTCTCTCTTGCTGTATGGGGCATTACAGGAAATAAAAAAAACAAAATACAAATTCAGGTATTTAGGCCAGCTGTTTTTCTCACAGTCCTCCACAGTACAGATGTCAGACTGTCTATATGGTAGGTTATACACGTATGCCAACCAGGCTCTACTGGACTGTGCAATCTAAAATGATGCTCTTACATTGTTTCATAAGCAAACAGGTAACACAGGAAGCAACAATAAGAAACAATGGAGGCACCAAGCTAGTTATGCATTGTGCCAGTGATGTTTGACTCACAACCAACATTACATCAATATACAAATACATACACATATATATTTACACTGTGTGCAAGGAACATTGATGCACTGCTTGCTAAAAATATTCAACTATTTTGACCAAATATATATCATTTGTATGCTGCTTTCTAAACCCGTAACTTACGTTTCCACACATTTTCTGCTGGTCAGCAAAAAAAATGTCACCAGATTTTGAAATTTCTAACTTTCAAGTTAAAGAGTCAATTCACCTGTAACATTATTTAGACTTTATAATGTAAAACCTATAAAGTATGTTTATGGGCCCATTCCCACCTGCATGTTTTATGGAGGTTCTGCACTTGGACAGGTTAGGTATTGTTCTAAAAGGTGAATTGTCGGATAAAGGTCATGACCATTTTTGATGCATTGGCACTTTAATGAACATATCGAAATCAATGGCCGCACGTGAAAATACATGTCAATTCACATTACAGACACGTAACAATGCACCAAAAAAGGCATGCATACCTGCAAGAAAGGTGTGAATCCAGCCAATAAAAAAATGTTAAGCTTTAATTTACAGTGGATTTAAAAAGTCTGCACACGCTTGTAAAAATGCCAGGTTTTGAGATGTAAGAGAAAAATCAGACCAAGATAAATCACTTCAGAATTTGTTCCACTGTTAATGTTACCTATAATGTGTACCGTATATACTCGAGTATAAGCTGTCCCGAATATAAGCCGAGGTACCTAATTTTACCACAAAAAACTGAAAAAACCTTTGAATGGGGAAAAAAATGTAAAGTAAAAAAAAAAACTTGCAATAACATGGTTACATAAATATGTACACCCTTAAATTAGTACTTTGTTGAAGTATCCTTTGATTTTATGGCAGCATTCAGTCTTTTGGGGTAGGAGTCTACCAGCATGGCACATCTTAGGAATCTATGCCCACTCTTCCTTGCAAAAGTGCATCCAAATCTGTCAGACTGCAAGGGCATCTCCTGTGCACAACCCTCTTCAGGTCACACCACAGATTTTAAACTGGATTCAGGTCTGGGCTGTGTCATGCAGAAGCTTTGAGCTTATTAGCCTGAATGTTTTGTGCCAAATTCGACTGATATGTGGAGCTGTTCATAAGTCCCTCCACCTGGACTAAAGCCCCAGTAGCAGCTGAAGAAAAACAGCCCCAAAGCATAATTCTGCCACCACCATGTTTCACAGTGGCTATGGTTTTCTTTCCATCATGTGCAGTGTTGTTTGTGCGCCAAACATACTTTTTGGTCTAGGTCTCATCAGACCATAACCCATTTTCCCACATGCTTTTGTCCGACTTGATGTAGGTTTTTGCAAAATGTAGCCGGGATATTTTTTTTTTTTAGGTCTTGCTCCTCTACTCCACAGCCCAGACATATGAAGAATACAGGAGATTGCTATCACATGTAGTATACAACCAGTGCTTGCCAGAAATTCCTGCAGCTCCTTTAATGTTGTTGTAGGCCTCTTGGCAGCCTCCCAGACCATTTTTTTTTCATCAATTTTGAAGGAACGTCCAGTTCTTGGTAATATCACTGTTGTGCCATATTTCCGCCACTTGTTAAGGACTGTCTTTACTGAGTTCCTTGGTATAACTAATGCCTTGGAATTTTTTTTGCACCCTTCTGACTGACACCTTCCAACAATGAGATTCCTTTGATGCTTTGTAAGCTCTTTGCGGATCATGGCTTTTGCTGAAAGAGGGAACTGAGTAAATGTCAGAAAAATCCTACTAGGACAGTTGAACTTTATATGGGCTTAATCAGAGACACTTTAATTGACGACAGGTGTGTATTGACTACTATTTAACATCAGGTTGAATGTGATTGGTTAATTCTGAACACAACCACATCCTTAATTAAAAAAGGGTGTGTACACTTATTCAACCACAATATTTTATTATTTTTGTGTCTCCACTAAACAATTTCAGTTTTGTTTTTTAACTGAATTGCACAGATTATAGGTTACATTTAAAGGCTGACGTCATTTATCTGTGTCTGATTTTTTTTTTTTACATCTCAAAAACCTGCCATTTTTACAGGGGTGCACATACTTTTTACATGCACTGTCGAAACAACTGCCTCAAAACTAGTTTCCTACTCCGCTCAGCACATTTTAGAAAAACAAACAAGCCTCAGATAAACTAGTTTTCATTTGGCATTATTCCCATTGAAATAATTAAAGGAGAACTATGAGGTTAGGGCCATTTCCCCCATAGTTCTCCTTAGGGTAACGGGAGGAAACAAACTAGCGTCCTCCCGTCACCCTAAGCTCAGTATACTGCGATCTACAGCTTGCGGTATACTGAGACGCTGAAGCGGATCCCGACAATTATGTCTGGATCCGCCTAGCTGCGTGAGTGACAGCTGGCTCTGCCTATCTAGAGGCGGAGCCAGCTGTACCCGCCCCCTCCCGTCATCGCTGGAGGATCGAAGGGGGGAATCCAGCCCCTCCCCTGTCAAGGCAGAGAGCCGTGATAGGATCGAGAGGTGAGCGAACGCTGGTATGACACATTTTATAACGTACTATAAGTTTTTACACAAATATTTATTATATATACACTGTTTCACGATTGCTTGACACGGAGGTGACACCATATGATCCCTACCGTTATCTAATTTCCTGAAGGGCATTTAGCGCTGTACACTTCATTACACCATTATTCTGTAGGCTTTTAGCCTGAGTTCAGCAGCTTTTTTCCTTTTTGGTTTTAGAAATTTTAGCTCCGGGGTCATATTAATATCCATTTTAAATTTTAATCCATCTTAATTTAGTTTTACTATTTCCGTTAGCGCAAGTTAGTTTGGTTCGCTGGAGGATCGGAGCGGGGAGGGGGGAATCCAGCCACTCCCCTGTCACTTCAGAGAGCTGTGACAGGATAGAGAAGTGAGCGAACGCCGTTATGTGTTCGCTCACTTCCCGATCTACTGAGCCGACCTGTGACAGTCTCATTGTCACAGGTCGGCTAGAACTATAAGGGGAGTGAAAAGCACTCCCCTCATAGTTCTCCTTTAACAATGGTCGATAAACCAATGGTTATAGCCTGGTAAAACCAGATTATCAAATAAAGGAATCTGATAGGAGCATAATGAGAGGCTGGCACACAAGAAATGATTCACTCGTTAAGATTATTCCCAGAACTGGGCAGCCAATCAGAAAGATACTACTAGAGAGCCTTCTGGAAAAAACAGGGATACTGAACTCCCATGAACAACATGTATTTGCTGCGGATTTCAGGGATTCTGATCATCTGACATTTCAGGATACCTTACCTGCGGAAATTTTACATTCTGCTTTAGAAGAACATGTGGGACAACTCAAATTGTCTGGGAGGAGTAGTTTGCATCCACCCTGAAACACCGAGGGGTTGAGTGGGCATATCTCACAGTTGGATGGATTGACCCCATAAACCATACAATCTTTTACTGCAATGATTAAGTAATTTCCTGCTGATAACTCCTGTATCTCACAGAAATAGGTCGTCTTATACAGAATACATAGCATGTACCAAAGCCCATTGCATGGGCAATCACAGTTTAGTTCTGTCGTAAACTCACAGTTTCACAGTTAAGACATCTGGTTTCATTGGTTAGAGTTCCCTGGAAGATCTCGTGAACCCAGGTGAGGTCAGGCTTATCAGGTTCCTGGAGCTCCAAACTCCCATTCTGCAGCTTGCCATTCTGGGTCTCCTGTTTCTTCTCCTCTTGCAGCAGGTCAGCAATAGTGTTTAGAAGGTAGTTTAGAAATTCATGAGCATCCTGTTGCATGTAGTTGTCGAACAATTCTGCTCAAACATAAAAATAAATAAAGGCCACGATACTTTAAAGCCAGGATACATTCTTTTATTACTTTAGGTTATCAGCAAACTTACCAAACCAATGCCCCAGGTTTATAGCTATATTACAAATGTAAATAATTCAACTTTGTCAAGGTTTCATGTGAACCAGTCACTGATCACACCTTGGACATGCGGTATGATCATTGTAATGCTACTCAATGTCAGCAAATGAGTTATTTACATTAATATGAAACATGCTTTTAGAATGCAATATAACAAAATGTGCATTGTACAGCACCCACGATGACAGGAAACATTTTTTTGATATGTCTTCACAAATCTGACTGGTTACCATGGTTTCCTACATGGTGCAATCTTTGTACTGGTTTACTAAAACAGCCTTTATAACGTCAGGTTCCTTACATATTTTATGGCCCCAGTTTCTAGCCAAGGAACATGTTTCAGGCTGTTTTTGTCCGCTATCAAGAATTTTATAGTCAATGCAGCCATCGCTAGTATTTCAATTTGTACAAAATATTTACACATTTCACCACAAGAGTGCAGTGCTGTTCATGAAATTCACGGAATGGATTAAATGGACAAACTACACTCTCATTAAATTTGCATTAACAAATTTAGCCCTCTAGGGGAGATTTTATTTATACAATCTATGAAAACAGTAATGGTTTTTGTGATTTAAAAAAAAACCACATAAATCAAAAAAAAAAAATGATAAAATGATTGGTTACAAAAACTTTAATGGATCTTTTTTTCTTAAATGCCTTCTAGGATCTTTCCATAAATGGTAGAAAAGTGCTAACTGCTGATGGTGAAAGCAAGTTTTGGAAAGTAGTAACACTCTCTTTTTAGATAGGCAAACTAATGTAGAAGTGGTGGCCACATTGATTTTGCACTGTGTAGCCCACTAAATTTAAATGCCATGCAGATACAAAAATGTCACTTCCTTTAGTTATGCATTAAACAATCTCTGTATATTATAACATACTTAAGGCACATCTAAACATTCACTATGGGGAGGGTGGGGGGGAGGGGCTAGAGGGATGACATCACACACACATACAGAAAATTTTAAAAAATTGGAAAACGTTACTGATATACATTAAAGGGAAGATCATTGTGAAACTTCGAATGATGGATCTAATAAAGAAACATGCAGACCCCTACCCTAGCCATCTAAATTTTTTCTTAAATCAAGATTGGAGAAATGTACAATGCTAAATTGGCAAAACACTATTTTTACACACACACACACACACACACACACACACACACTCCAGGGGTGCAGAATTCCTATCGCCCGAGACATGCAGTTTTGGGACATTTAGCCCGGCTAAGTGTAGACGGGGAGCCATTTTGTACAAGTGATTTTGAGCGACTGTACAGATTGTCTGTCCCCTCCCCGAGCACCGACTCTCTCCCTGCCCGCTGTCTCTCTCCCCGTCCACCTACTCCCTCCCTCCTGTGGTTTTAGGGTCACGTGCTCTTCTGGGGGACCCGGGACCACAGCAAATTACATCAGGATGGAGAGCAGAGCGGAGAACTTTCATTCCCTGGTCTGCTCCATGTGAACACTGAGACAGGAACACTGTACTCGCAGTCTTCCTGTTTCAGCTGTCACAGGAGATCGTGCTTGAATTCCTATATTGGAAGGGACACCATCAAATGCTATCACGCAGGGGCTTGTTAGCTCCTGTGTGATAGCAATAAAGTTAAGTGAAAAAAAAATGAAGTGAAAAAAGTAAAAATTAATAAAATACATTTAAAAAAAAAAAACAACAACAAATAATGAAAAAAGTAAACAAAAAAAATAAAAAAAGTGATTAAAAATGTAAAAAAATAAAAGATAAGAAGATAAACATTTTATACATACGTGCGCCCCTTTCCCCCTCAAGCTGGTCCCAGGCTTCGCTGTGCCCCGGTGCGAGTCCGGGACCAGCATAGTGCCACTCTGACAGGTGATCAGAGGGAGATCGGTACACGAACTCCCTCCGGTCCCCTCTCCGCTGTCAGAATGCGGAAGTGTTGTACATTACATCACTTCCGCATTCTTGTGTCATTCTCCAGCTTCAGATGCTGGAGAGAAGCTGATGAAGCAGATCTGTGCTTCATCAGCTTCTTTTGGGGGGTCCTAGGTGACGTTAGGGGTCTTGGAGACCCCTGATGTCTCCATCTTTTGCCATTACATAAGGGGGTTTCTTAGCCCACTATGGGATAGCAATAAAGTGAAAAAAAAATTGTAACAAAAAATAAAAGTTTTCCCCCCAAAATTTAAAGCTACACATAAAAAAGAATTAAAAATGTTTCTTTTTTAAAAGTCCCCCCCATACATACACGCATGCAAACAGGCGTTGGGTGCGCATACGTGCGAAAACGACGATTGCGCCGCACATGCTACATATCGCCGCGAACGTCGGAATGAGAGCAATAGTTCTAGAGCCATCAATCACTGATAACACTAAACTGATGAGCGGTAAAAGCTTATAAAGCGTCGCCTATGGTCAATTTTGGGTATGTTAGTTTTTTTGCGATTTCGCTGGTGCGCACAATTTTAAAGCTTGACATGTTTGGTGTCCATTTACCCAACGTGACCCCGTCTTTAATATTTTACCAAAAATATGGGTAATAATCATTGTTTCCTAATACAATAAAACAATTCCTTTTTTTTTTTCAACATTTTCAATAATTTTTCCTTAATCACTTGCCGTCCGCCCGTAGTAAAAAAACGGACGGACGGCACTGCAGCATTGGCGGGTTGCCGTCGAAGCCTCAAAAAATGGTATAAAATTTATTTCAGTACAGCGTTGCATGACGGAATAAATGTAATTCAAAGTACCGCAGCACTGAATACTGAAAAATGGCCTGGCCAGGAAGGGGGTCTAAACACCTGGTCTTGAAGTGGTTAAATAAGATTATTCTTTGTATCATGACAAGTAGATTGACACGAGGGACAAGTAGATTGAGCCTCCACTTTAGTCCTTGGACAAGTCGTTTTTTTTTCTAAATGTCCACACCCCTGGACTCACTGGCCACTTAATTAGGTACGCTTTGCTAGTACCAATTTGGATCCCCTTTTCTCTTCGTTAACTGTCTTAATTCTTCTTGGGATAGTTTCAGCAAGGTGCTAACAAACATTCCTAAAGCTGGCCATACACTTTACAACCATCGCAAGACCTTTAGTCTTGCGATGGTTGTAAAGTAATTAAAAAAACGTACGATCTGCCCATCTTGGACAGGCAGATCGTACTTGCGATCATCGCAAGCCCGCCCCCCTGAGGCTTTTCCGATGACCGCAATGCTGAACGGGCAGTGTGCGCGTGCGCACACCGGCCCGTGCGGCATTGATCTTACGATCATGCTAAAAACCAGCCGAAAAATCGTACGATTCTCGGCTGGTTTTCTAGCATGCTCCTTAGACAAAAGACGTGCGACCGTACAGTAAAAACGGTCACACGCCTTCCATACACTTTGCGATTATTGTACGATCGCGGGATTTCCCGCGATAATCGCACAGTGTATGGGCACCTTAAGACAGTTTGGTCCATATAGGACATTACAGCAGTTGTTTCAGATTTGTTAGCTGCACATACATGATGCGTATCTCCCGTTGCACCACAGCCCAGAGGTGCTCTATTGGATCTGGTGACTGTGGAGGCCATACGAGTACAGTAAACTCATTGTCAGGTTTAAGAAACCAGTTTGAGACAATTTTAGCTTTGGGGCATGGCACGTTATACTGCTGGAAGTAGCCATCAGAAGATGTGTACACTGTGGTTATAAAGGGATGGCCATGGTCAGCAACAATACTCAGGTAGGCTGCAGCTTTTAAATGATGCTCAATTGGTACTAAGGGCCCAAAGTGTGCCAAGAAAATATCTCCCAAATCATTACACCATCACCACCAGCATGAATCATTGATACAAGGCAGGATGGATCCATGCTTTCATGTTGTTTACGCCAAATTCTGACCTGACCATCCGAATGTCGCAGCAGAAATTGAGACTCATCAGACCAGGCAACATTTTTCCAATCTTTTACTGTCCAATTTTGGTGAGCCCTTGTAAATCATAGCCAGTTTCCTGTTCTTAGCTGACAGGAGTGGTACCCAATGTGATCTACTGCTGCTGTAGCCCATGTGCTTTTAGGTTTAACGTGCGTTCAGAGATGCTCTTCTGCATATCTCAGTTGTAAAGAGTGGATATTGGAGTCACTGTTGCCTGTCTATCAGCTTGAACCAGTCTGGCCATTCTCCTCTGACCTCTGGCCTCAACAAGGCCTTTTTGCCCAGAGAACTGCCGCTCCCTGGATATTTTCAATTTCAGACCATTCTCTGTAAACCCGAGAGATGGTTGTGCATGGAAATCCCAGTAGATCAGCAGTTTCTCAACTCAAACCAGCACGTCTGGCACCAACAACCATGCCATATTCAGAGTCACTTAAATCACCTTTCTTCCCCATTCCGATACTCGGTATAACTTCAGCAGATCGTCTAGGACCATGTCTACGTGCCTAAATGCAATGCGGTGCTGTTATGTGATTGGCTGATAAGATATTTAATAAAGCGGCCAGTGAGAGTATAAATACCTATAATTTTTTTTATAGTGATCTCCAATGGCTAGAGCTATAAATGGACAATATAGCAGGATGTACTCCATTAATCCTTCAGAAACTCCCCCAGGAAAAAGAAATTAGCTTAATTTTGTAAAAATTAAAGCACAAGAAGTAGTTGATTCATTTGATTTTTGTCATTTGTATGTCCATCAGGCAAATGATTTAATGTAATACACAACCCATCTTTGATGTTACATACACTGTCACACTGGATTTGAATTTTAATAAAGTGTGAAGTTTTGGAATTCTCTGGGATAGTGCGGTCTGTTCGTATACTAACACAATCCATCTGTTTAGTACAAATTATTTTTTTTGCATCTAGACAAAGTACCAGAGGACCACAGTGTACCCTAGACTCATGTAAATTATATTTAGAATGTTTGGAGGTAATCAGTTGAAGTAAAAAAAGATTCTTTAAAATGTCAGCGATTACTGCATAAACAGACCATTGGTACTAAAATCACAGGGAGAAGGAATGAGTTGTGAAAGAAATGGGTCAAGAAAAAAACTGCATTGCTGAAACACAAATGAACCGACTTGTGTAAAAGTCAGGTTTCCTGCTGGTAGGACAACTTTGGGAAGAGCGGAGCTAAGTAGTAACTGCTATGTAAAGACAGAGAGAGCAGGGAAATGTCCATTTACTTACAGAAGAAACGATCAAAATGTGCGAGCGAAAAACAAAGCGCTCTGCTTCATCAACCTAATTCTGTTCCTTTGCAGTGTTCTAGCCATTGAGTATGCAGCTCTGTGCAGTACCCATTTAACTGCAGAAAGACATAAAGAACTGCAACCATTTTGTTGCCCAATAAGAAGCCGATAGAAGAGATGTCTTAATATTCATATTGCCGCCAACCAATTCCTCTGGGTGCTACCTGTAAGTCAGGTCCTCAAATAGGATCCTATAGGTTTTGGGGTCACCAGGTTATTGATATTTAGGTTAACTTAAAACACTGGCAAACTAACACCTCGGGTAACACAGGTATATCACAGTTGTATCATCGGCCCAAAAAATCTAGAACTTCGGTACCGGTTGAGAGCCACTATTGGTGGAAAGGGGAAAAAGAGAAGGTTTTTTTTTTTATGAAGTCACCAAAGTTTTATTTTCCCAATAGAAACATCCATTTCACCTTGAGGAAATACAGCTCTACTTCTCTCCTGACTGGAAATAAGACAGTTTACACTACTTTTCCTCTTTTACTAAAATGAAAGAACCTGGGCTAAAAAAAGTAATGATGTTAATCCAGTTCAACAGAACTCCCTTATCTGCCTCTGACACTTCAATGCACCGATATTACTTGCACAGCCTAATCATGCAGCTAACACTGCTAAGAGGACTAAAGTCTCTTATCTAACCAATATATGTTCATATCCTTGCATTATACCATGCTTTTGTAACACCGAGCAAGGCTGCCTCCATGTTACTACAAAAAGTACATGAATTTAAATAGGAGATTTCCACGTGACTCCTTAATACCTATAGGCAGTAGTTTCAAGTGCTAAATTTTGTTAAGGTGTTCGCATCCCTACTCTGTTCCCTCCATCATGCCTAAAGCTAGGCACCAGTAACTGGGTAAAATTCAGAAATATTCTATCCCCATTATGTTTGTTAACCATGAGACAGCGTTTGTGTATTATAATGTGCATACCATTCTCTTTCCTCAGTCTGGAGATGAATTTCTTGGGTGGTATAACCCCCACTTTCTTCTTTTGCGTGGCAATGCTGTTAAAAAGGTCTGCCAAACATGTGAGCAAGCTTTCCTTCTTCCGTGGCTGGACCTTGTATGCCAGAACTTTCTCCCGAAACGGGCGACAAAAATAAAGTGCTTGTAGGACAGAGTTGCAGTAGCAGGTGTTGCCAAACTGTAGAGAACAAAAAAAGGAACAGCAAAAATCAGTTTAGCTTTAACCCTTAGTTGCCAAGGCATTTTTATTGTGCACACATGTTATAATCCACATTTTAGATCTGAAAATTACTTAAAGGAGCACTATGAGGTGAGTGAAAATCACTCACCCTCATGTTAGAGCCGACGTGTGACAATGAAACTGTCACGCGTCGGCTCAATAGATCGGGAAGTCAGGGAACACATACCGTCGCTCGCTCACTTCTCGATCATCTCCCTGCAGAGAGCCGTGACAGTCAGTCAGGGCTCCCTGCAGGGATTTCCCCTCCCCTCTCCGATCCTCCAGCGTTGACTGGAGGAGTGGACAGGGGAGGGTACAGCTGGCTCTGCCTCTAGATAGGCAATGTCGGGATCCGTCCCGGCTGCAGCGGTCTGAGTTTACCGTGAGCTGTAGCTCGCGATATACTGAGCATTGGGTCACGGGAGGACGCTAGTATATGTTCTCCTGTGACCCTTAAGAGAACTATGGGGAAAAACACTTACCCCATAGTTCTCCTTTAAAATCACCCAGAGTTTTATATTTCCTAAAAGCACAGACCCAGTAGAACTAAATTGTGGCAGTTGCAAATGTATTTTTTTTTCAGTGTTTTTTTATTACTAGGGCTGCAACAACTAATCGACATAATCGATTATAATCGATTATTACTATTATTTATTTTAACTTTTTTTTTTTTACTTTATTTCATTGCTATCACACCCCCGCTCACTGGCCCCCTATGTGATAGCATACTGGTGGTGACAGGTTCTCTTTAAGGTGACAATAGGGGTCTATTACACTGTGATGACAGTGTTAAGTGAGTACAGGAACCTGGAATAAATGGCTGCTTTAAAACACAACCATTTGCTGCTAAAAATAAAGAGCAATAAGAATAAGGTCTGAAAAGCATTGACTCAAAGTGATGCAGAAATACATAAATGTGCTTCCTACAGGAGCACACACATGATCATTTCTTGGAATACAATTCAATACCCTATTCTGATAAATCATTAGGAAGTATGATGTGGCTTCAAGTGTGCCCAGAAATAAATGCATTTAGTGGTAATATGACTGTGAATATTTGTAGAGGGCACTATTTTTAGCTCAGTGAGAACTGCAGACTCCACTATTTCAGCCAACAACAATAATAAAAGAAAGTTCACTAAAAATAAAATGATGTGTAGCTACGGAAAATGGGTACCACGCTTAGAGTTATTCTAGAAAATCTTTTCAATGATGACTATGAGCTTAAAGTGTCAATCAACTCCGCTCCAAGCTCGCTCCCATGACAGACCACAATCTCACGCTTAGTTAGCTCATTTGTAGTCCATCACAGGAGTGAGCTTGGAGTGGTGGCTACTTTACAACACACACAGGGACCATGGGGAACAAAAAGTAGCCACCCTCCAGAAACAAGAAGAGTGTTAGCACCAATCCAGAGATGATCTGACTGTTGAGTGCGTCGGGAAATCTTTCTTTTAGTACTTTGTAAAGCCCTTCCATGTGCACCTTGCTAAAAGCTAGTTATGAAATGATGAGTGTGTTTGTTTCACTTCTCCACCCACCCCATCATCCATTCACAGATTCTTTGACAGGATTTGTGAATTAAGCAAGTACAACTCTCATCAGCCATCACAGCAGAGGGGCTTGTAGTTCTCAAGTCTATTCATTCTTCCTTGCATCCATCCGTATTGCCAAATGTCTGTACCGTGGCCTGGAGGAAGAAGGAAGGAACCACCTGATCATGGTTGCAATGCTTTACTGGCTCCAATTAAAAAAAATAATAAATGCAAATTGTTTTATTGAATAAGTGTGCATTTATTATGTTGGTTTTCAAAAAGTGGACTATGCCTTTATGTTCTTTACAGTTAAAAGAAAAAACAGCACACAATCATAGGAGTATTCCTTTGATGCTATGCACATAGCTCAGAGAAGAGAGAGAGAGAAGAGAGAGAAGAGAGAAGAGAGAGAAGAGGAGAGAGAAGAGAGAGGAGAGGGAGACATAGAACTGTACACATAAATCGTAGGTTTAAAACTTAAATGTACATTTAACCACATATGACTGGATTGCTGGGAAAGAAAAAACAACCCCAAAGTATTTTGACTTGCACATAATTGGATGATGGAAGTCAGAGATTTATTTAGTTAAGAGAACATTCCCTTGCAAAGTGAAGAGAATATATATATGTCTTCAGTAAATCAACCCCAACATATTTTCTATGAAGGTAAACCAAATAAAGGATCTGGCTGCCTTTCTACAAATCATTTGCCTGGACATCAGTTACAGACCGGAGCAAAACTGCGTCCAATGTATTCCAATGGTATTTTTAGCTCCAGTTCACATCGCAGTGTTCCGTTCCAGAGCAGGTAACAAAAATTGCAGCAGGCCCTATTTTACCTGCTCTGGAACGCATGAAAATGCATCAAAAACGCATGCAAACGCACTGGAACACACTAAAATCCCATTTTAAACTAAAAAAAAATAAAAAAAAAATATTTTTTTACCAAAAACAGCCCGGAACGCATCAAAAAACGCGGCAGAAACTCATGCAGATCTGCTCTGCATTTGGTGTGAACAAGGCCTTAATCCTTTTATAGGAATCTAATGGGGATGTAGCTAAACTCCTGTAAATTGTATAAGTCACTGAAAATAGATAGCTTTAGCAAGCCGTAAGGTGCTAGAAACAAAGTACAATGTCAACCTTAAAATCATTGGTCAAGATATATATGGAATCTTGTATTACAACTTAATCTCCAGATAGCAAACAGATGGTCAGGGGGGTTGATATATAATGTGTCAAAGTTTATCTCTACTTCTTCTACATATTTTTTGATCAGTCCCTGGCACCAAAGGAGCTTACAATCTAGTGCCTTAACCGCACACGCAAGCACATACAACAAGCCAAATACCTTACCAATATGTTCTTGGGCTGTGGAAAGAAAATGTCCAAGTGCAAATATCAGAAGAACATACACACAGCTAGAGTTCCTGGAATAAACTGAACCCAGAAATCACTAACTGATCCATGTCTCCCTATGTATAGTCAAAAGGTGCATGCTGTGACCAAGACAATAATGCCACATAGGAGATAGCACACAAATTACATGATCCTTTTGGCCACAACCCACAGGTTACTGAGTTTATTCTTTTCAACAAGGGTGGGTGTTGGGGTGATGTGTTACTAAGCTGTTACTGTATTACAGAGTCCCAAAGAAGTGACAACTTCAGTTTCCTAACAAGGTCAGGGACTGCACAAGTTAATTTTACATTTGAAAGCTTTAGATTATGCCAGTCACTCCTACTTCAGTACATTGGACCAGTAACCCCGGAACCTTGGAAAAAGCTTAACCTGCTTAACCTAGCTCCAACACTTCCTGGTAATGTTGACAGCAGTGCCACCCTATTCAACCTTCTGCACCTTTCTTCTGGCCCATCACTATGATGGGCAGCCGTCCTTGGGAACAAGATGCAGAAAGGTGTCAGGCCATCCTTCAAATCTAGGAAGTACAGAAGCCTCTGTTGTAGGCTTGCAGCACACTTGTAAATTTCTGAACTTATGTGCACATCTCTAGCAATTTTTATTTTACTGTCAGTTGTACTTAAAGCTTGATAAATATATACAACAAAAGCAATGTGAGAACTGGTTTTGACAGCTGGGCTCGTAGAAGTTAAGTACTGAATTTTTTTTTTTTCAACGTGGCATTTGTGTGGCAAAAATGGTTCCAGTAAATGAAAAATTCCTTAGGTGATAGATGTCACACAAGCCTTTGTACTCTTTGAGATATGTTCCCTTCCATAGCCAACCTTATAGGATCAAAAACTTCAGTCAGGTAACTACCCATTCCTGAACCAGTTGTGTCAAACTAGATTTACCCATCAACTCCCAAAATGTATCCATTCATAGTACTCAAGTGTCACCTATCTACTAAGAAAGCAGGAATCTGAGAAATTAGAATTAAGGATGCCTGCAAAACCTGCCTAGTTAGGCTTTGTCCATCACTTGAGTCAGTACACTACATTACTCTCTATTGCTGTGTGTATAGGAAAAGCCACAGCAAAAAACAGTTAAAGGCTAAAATTACCTTTCTGAACATGTTTCATATTAAGCCCATATTTAATTACATCAAGTTACCATACCGAGGAACAGACATGGAGGGAAGGAACAGTCGGCAAGAGCCAGAGCACTGCACTCACGATCCACTAAACATGGTTGCAAAGCTTTACTGGCTCCAATGCAAAAAAAATAATACATGCACATTTGTTTCTTTTGTGACGAATTGTGCATGAATTTTTATGAAAAAGGTGGAATTTCCCTTTCAAGATCCCACTGAAGATACTTGTCTGCAACAAGGCAAGAAACTTATAAGACATGAACAGCAAAATTAGCCCCTATACATTTGAATATAAAACTTTCAAATGCTAACATAAGACAAATATGGGTATACTTTACAAAAAGGGAGTAAAATAACATGTGTCACCTAAGTGCAATTGGCAAAACTGCCCCTGTGCTGTTCATACTCTCTAAATATATTAGGCTCCATCACTGAAATAGCCAGATAAATGTGCAGTAAGAGCAACACAAAAATAAAAGGAAAATGAGCAACACTTACATTGACCAAACCAAAGTAATGTTCATTTACGGGAAATTGCTCCGGGCCAATCTCTTTTTCCAATGTTGAGGCATTGGTGCCCTGTGAAAGAAATACAATGTAAAGGCTTATTTTTGATGACAGAAGTGGGTAAAAATATTACATTTAGTAAATACAGAATACAACAGAACACCATTAAATTTGTTCTCTAGATCTTACCAAGTCTTTGGAAAACATAGCAGCTCTAAGCTTTGATTTAAGCACTATTTGTTTTTTTACTTTCAACTGAATTGACAGCCAAATGACAAATTTGGTTCCAATAAATTAAAACATTTGTTAGGTGATGTCTCACATGCCTTAGCACTCTTTCAGATATGCTCCCTTCCATAGCCACCCTTATAGGATCAAATTAATCGGTTAAAGAGTTGAAAAGTTCCACAATAAAAACTTAAATCAGGTACCTAGCCAAGCTACCAATTGCGTCAAACTAGATGTTACCAAGTCTTTGGAAAACATAGGTCTAAACTTTGATTTAAGCACCATTTTTTTTTTTACTTTCAACTGAATTGACAGCCAAATTACAAATATAATTTCTTTCAATTGCGGAGAAAAATATAAGTTAGCAAGCTTTCAGCATTTGGCAATCCTTCCATCAAAGGCTACAAGGGCAACATGAGTTTATCTATAAGCAGTGGGCACCTGTCTCAATTATATTACCATCTCCATCACTCTCGGCAGTCAGTGCTACATGCCCCCAGTAGGGTGCTCCATTTTCTTTCTATGGTTACCATTCTGCTTTCTGAGGATCTCAACCTCAAGATTTCCAGGAATAATGTTTACCAGTGTGAGATCAAATGTGCAAAGATTTTTTATTTTTTTTAACTTCAAGCATTTAAAGTAGAACTCTGTGTCCCTGTTAGGGAAATGTTCTCTTATTGACTGTCCCAGGACAAAAAAAAGAGTCTAAAAGGAAATCTGCCTAAAGTGAGGGTACAATCCAAACTTTGACAACTGTCACTAGAACAGATGTCTCCACTGACAGTTGTCTATAAACAATTAGGGAAAATTATTTAAATGTTGGATTTCCACATTCACTACTAGAATTTCGTTAATTTGAGAAAAAATTTCCATCTTGTTCATTTGATTTTTTTTTGTAACTCAGGGCAAAATTAACCATCAATTTGAGCCCATCAGCTATAGAAAAAAATTGTTTTTGGAACATTGGTTCGAACAAAATTTTAAAACACAATTATGTCTGATGTTCTCTATTGTAATCCTTAGTCTCCCTCACGCATTGAGAGTCCTGCACCATATTATTAAAACTAGGGATGCACCGATACCGATACAAGCATCGGTATCGGCGGCGATACCGAGTATTTGCATGAGTACTCGTGCAAATACTCCAAAACATAAAACGAGTACCTGTGCCGCGTCCGCCATCTTCAGGGACCCGGATCCGCCGCACACAGGACCTCCATAATTAAAACCAGATTATAATTCATGTCTCATAAGAATAAACATTCAGCACCAGAGATACTATGGGCAGTAATGCTTGGTACCTTATATTTGTAAAAATACTGGACAGGTGTATTACAGTTGTAATCTGCCAAATAATGCAAAGCAGTGATGCTCCAACCATGCAGTGATGCTCCAACCATGCTTGATTCACCAATACCGTTTTTTCGGTATCAAATATCGCTATTTATATTTTGGTACTCGCCGATAACAGTGCTTCCACTAGCATGGAGCGGTCATCCAAGGCAATCAGGAATCTGAGGGGAGCGTCATAACCCGCCGCCCAGCTTCTTGATTGCCCGGGAAGCCGGCTCCATACTGATTGGCTGGCCAGCCAATCAGGAGCCGCCAGGTATCCTGATTGGCAGGGAAGCCAGTTCCACGCTGTTTGGCCAACTTGATGCTGATTGGCTTCGAAAACCGGCTTCCTGGCCATTCGACATTGAGCCGACTTTATGGCCAATGAGTCATTACCCGCCGCCTGTCTTCTTGATTAGCTTGGAAACTTGGCTCCATGTTTCCTTGCGGCACTGCCGGTCAAAGGAAATCTCCCTCTGACCGGAAGTTCCATTGTCGGGAAATTACCGAAGCATTTTGGCGAGTATGTGTACTAACCCAAATACCGATACTAATATTGGTGCATCCCTACAATACAGTATATGACTCCTATTATTACATTCCTCAGTCCTTAAAGATGGACTCCTAAGAGATGATTAATAAGATTATACATGCTTTATTCTTCCTTTCGACAGCAGCTGGCGCTCTTCTTTGCTGTCCAACATCTTGGGTTGTTGACGGACCTTGGCAATGCAGAATTGTTAGTCAGTCTTATAGGATGATGCCAGAAAGCTGTGACCGATCAGGCTTTAAAGGAGAACTATGGGGTTAAGGCTTTTCCCCATAGTTCTCCTTAGGGTAACAGGAGGACACAAAACTAGCGTCCTCCCGTCACCCTAAGCTAAGTACACCGTGAGCTACAGCTCGCGGTATACTGAGACGCCACAGCTGAAGCGGATCCCGACAATTCTGTCTGGATCCGTCCAGCTGCGTGAGTGACAGCTGGCTCTGCCTATCTAGAGGCAGAGCCAGCTGTACCCGCCCCTTCCCCCGTCCGTTCCGCCAGTCAGTGCTGGCGGATCGGAGCGGAGAGGGGGGAATCCAGCCCCTCCCCCTGTCACGGCAGAGAACTGTGACAGAAGCGAGAGGTGAGCGAACACCGGTATGTGTTCGCTCACCTCCCGATCTACTGAGCCGACTTGTGACAGTCTCATTATCATAGGTCGACTAGAACTATGAGGTGAGTGGGAGAAAAAAAATAGGGTAAATATATCACCTTCTCCATCATCCCCAAGGGAAAAGGAGCAGTTAACCCATGTATTGTGGAAACAGACCTACTGTAAGGGTAACTTGAAGACTAGCTTCACACCTAGGTGATTGCGCTGGTGAGCTGTTTCCGCACATTTTTGTTTGCGCGATTTTGCTTTGAAAACGGCACGGTTTTCAGTACATAGTGATGTCCATGGGACCCAAACCATGTGACAACTGCCCAAACATAGACACGCGATTTCGGCCACGTGACGCAAAAGGTGTGAACAGTCTGAATTGACTTACATGCAGATCTCTGTTTTGTGCGATATCGCGCAGATAATTCGCCTAGGTGTGCACCAGCCCTCAACATTAACGGCGAGCATACACTGGTATCAGCTTTGTAACCCACTCTTGTTATGAAAATTTTCCTCACAATGTCATAATGGTTTTGCAAAGAAACACCTACATAAGTTAAAAATCACAATTGTAATACGTTTCAATATTTGCAAAAACATATAAGTGATTCTCTGTGTACAAAGAACAAATGTTTAAAAAAAAAAAAATCACTTCAAAACATAGGCAGAAAAAAAATAAAATAAAAATAATCTGTATTCTATACCAATACATTCAAATTTGCACATCAAACTGGTTATTAACCTAAAAAGCTCCTGCTATAAATACAGAAGCAATGGTTGGTCTGGATCTTCAACTCTGTGGTCAGATTGAATGTTTCTAAATACATATAAACATAGATATATCTAGAAGACAGTCTGCACTACAACAGATGCAAGATAAGTATTCATTACGTTGCACCTGACCTTTCTATAACCATACAACGTCAGATCTATGGACTTAATATTTCAAAGAATACATTTTAACAAGGCGTGTCACTGTAAAATGAGGTACAGTATTGAGTTCTTCCAAACTGAAAACACCAGGATAAACAAGAATATCAATTGTATTAAATTGCCAAAAAAGAATGTTACTACAGCTATGCTATGACCAATGCACTATATATGTATATATACTGCAGATCCTTAGACATGGCAGCTTTATTTTAAGCAAGTACAGAAATTATCTGTTGATCTTGCCAGAAAAACAGTGTCCTTGTCACTTTTTGTGACCAGTACTGGAAGGCAGTGCCTGCACCCGGGTGACACCAAAATGACTGACAGCCATTTTGATGTGACCCCCTCTAAAAAGTCAGGCAGTCGGTCATGGACCGAGAGCCCGACAGTCTCAGGAGAGAGGAGGGGACCCGGCGGCATACGCAGGCGTCAATCAGATGGCCGTGCATGCGTGATGACGACACGGTGACACCTGGCCTAGGGACGCCCCTGCTGGAAGGAAAAATAATGTTCCCATCACCCATATAACGGAGATGACCAAATGCAGACATGTTTGAAGTCCTGCTTGGGTGTCAACCATAACTCCCTCCATAGATACAGTGAGGCGAGTGTAGCCATCCACAGACAGGAAGTGTGTTTTTAGGAGGCTTTACAGAAAATAAATGGAAAAAAGCCTAAAAAACAAATGAAGCCACCTTGTCTAGGGACTTGTAAGTTGCACTATATTACATTTTTGGGTTTACATATACTTTAATGCTTGCATTATTTTGGAATAAACAAAACAGAACCAACACATTGCTCTGACAGGTATATTTCAGCAACAAAAGGAGCTCGAGTTCTGTTAATAATACATGGTTTTCTTTTTTTCTGGTTAGGTTTCCTTCATTTATCTACAGTTGTGCTCATAAGTTTACATACCCTGGCAGAATGTATGATTTCCTGGCCATATTTCAGAGAATATGAATGATAACACGAAAACCTGTCACTCATGGGTAGTGTTTGGCTGAAGCCATTTATTATCAATCAACTGTGTTTACTCTTCCAATCATAATGACAACAGAAACTACCCAAATGACCCTGATCATAAGTGTACATACCCTGGTGATTTTGGCCTGATAACATGCACATAGGTTGACACAAAGGGGTGTGAATGGCTATTAAAAGGGAACCATCCTCACCTGTGATCTGTTTGCATGTGATCAGCGTGTGTGTATAAAAGGCCAATGAGTTTCTGGCCTCCTGACAGACCCTTGCATCCTTCATCCAGTGCTGCACTGACGTGTCTGGATTCGGAGTCATGGGGAAACCAAAATAATTGTCAAAGGACCTGCGGGAAAAGGTAGTTGAACTGTATAGAACAGGAAAGGGATATAAAAAGATATCCAAGGAATTGAGAATGCCAATCAGCAGTGTTCAAACTCTAATCAAGAA